AAAGAGAACCATCACTCTATGGGAAAATTCGAACAGTTACCTCTAATTAACACCACAATACGTACAGCTACAGGCTCGAAAACCAAACGTATCACCCATATCTTATACATTCCCATTAATATCAGTGGACAAACCATCAATCTACAGTTTATGCTCGTACCAAATCTTTATAGACCAGTGATTTTAGGATGTGATAGCTTAGAAAGCATGAAGGCGAAGGTGAACTTTGTTAATAATAATATAAAAATGAATATAAATAACCAAGATATTGTAATGAAGTTTGATCGAGTTTCTACTGAAGGAATCACTTGTTTCATTGTTAATAATTACAGCCACAGGCCAGATCCCGATATTAAGGGCATTTATAACAATAAAAATATACATAACGAAGATTTTCATTATGAGCACCAACCAAATAATAATAATAATCAATTGATGGACAGTATAACTGAATTCAAAGTTAAAGAATCTTTAAAAGATAATAAATTATTGAGTGATACACAACGAGCCGAGTTAGGTAACCTGATTCTCAAATACAAACATATTTTCTCTGAAACACCAGGAATTTTCCAATTGAACGAATATGAACTAAACAATTTATGGACTATGCCACATTTTACACAACAAAAAATATATAACCGACACATCAAGATCCCACAAACCAAAACATACAGAAGATACAGTTACCGTGCATGCAGAATAGACAATAATCGCGAGTGTGTATCCAAGAATCCCCTTATAAACTGTGATATCAGACACTAATCGCGAGTGCGTACCCCATCATTCCCATATCTATGAAACTCCCAAATCCCAAGAAGATACAAATGTTATTTTCTATGCTCAGAAACCTATTACCCTTACTCCCCAATTTACTTAATTTTCAAATGTTTTTATGTTTTGTTCTCTTTTTAAAAACTTGTTTTTCCCTATAGATATAAGTCAACTTACAAGATAATCAATCATTTAATGTTTATCATTCTAACTTTAAGATGTTTTATTTCATACTTCTGTATCATCATGACATTTCACATTTTATCGAAATTTTTCCTTGAGTTCTCAGATAAAAATTTCTGAGGGGATAATTGCAATGTTACATGTCATTTTTAGACCTTTCACTACATTCATTCTTTAGTTATATAATAATTCTTCTTTTATTGTACCAAAATTCGCCATATAGCCTATTTAAATAAATTGTCAGAAAATTAATAGTAAATTTAAATTATATTATCCTTTAATCACCCCTCAGAAACCATCATCACATTTTAAAATATATTGTATATATTCAACACATATTATTATTAATAACAACCTGTAATTAAGTCCATAGTTGCAATAACACTTTTATCCAAAATTATTAATATAGTATAAATTATTTCTAAAACCCCAACATTAAATTAATATCCAAAAGCCTGAATATTTAGTGCATGTGCAAGTGATGAAGAAAGAAGACAGCTGGCCTCAACAATGAACTCTGATCATCCTGTGTAAAATTAAAATTTTCCTCCTTCTCTATTGGGACATGGCAGCATCAACACCTTAAATTAAGTGAGGGTATAATCCCTAATATTTATAAAGTCAGTGATCAAAATTATTTAACTTAACATTACCTAACTTAACTACAGAAAAACAGTTTAACTTACATATATATATTTTTTTCATTTCAAATTTGTACTACCACCTCAAGATTTATATAAATTGGACACTATTCCTGAAGATCTGGTGAGAACTCTCCATTTTGTATAGGCTTAGCCTACCTTCAAGAAATTCAACTTAATAGACCTTTTTTATTTAATTTCTGATCATCGAACCTAATTATTTGAACTCAAAAACTACTTTATTTAATCAAGAATAATCCCTGAAAAACAATTTGAGAAGAGAACTAAATTCAACTTTAATAAATTTTTCACCTTGTCTATTCATTGTTGGACTTATTTAATTTACCTATCCAAGCCTAAGAGCAATATCAAAATTATTCCATTTTTTTATAATAATTGACATATTTTATTTTATAAATTAAAATATTTGAAGATCTCTTTAGCCAGCCGAGTTCCCCTCCCTGAGATTTATGTAATTAAACTAAATGGTAAACTCATTGTTCTGTTTTTACTGAGCTAGGCTAAACCAAAGATGGCAACCCTATAACTTAACTTATCTGTTATCTGTTCATTTACCCCATTCATAATTGTAATATCTTATTTTAGTTCATTAAATTTGTATTGTTAAGAAATTCTTCAGATTAATCATTTGTCTTGCTATAAGTATTTAATCAAGGCTTAACTTAGCATAATAAATAGTAAGCAAATTAAAGGTACAAACCTAAACCAAATTTTACTAACTTAGTCTAAATTATTACAAACACAACACGCATTAGTGTTTTCTTTTAAGAATTAAAAAAAAATAATAAGAACGGCGGCATTCTGTGTTATGACAACCTGTTAAAACAACACGAAAAATATAGTACATTTATGAAAAAATCAAATTAAAACCTTTCAGAGATAAGAAAAGATGTTTGGGAATAGTGGACGATAGCTTAAATAAGGTCAAGAGCTGGAAGCAGAGTCAATTGCTTACTGTCGTCTATTGATGGATATCCGAATGTCCTTAGAAGGCAGGTCAATAGCGCATCCTGAGGGCCTTATGCTGAAGTCAATCTCAAGAATATCTGTTATTGATCCAAGCAAGCAAGTCTACCCTTAGCCTATTGGTATCTGTAATTAATTGTTTCAAACCTATTATCAGTCATACAGACTACAGATGCATATAGCTGTACTTTATCTTTGGTCAAACCATACTAGGAAACGTATCACCTTTGATATTTAGTAATTTGAACTAAGAATGATGAATAAAGGGGGTCGTTATATCACATTATATGTCAGTTTAACCAAGCTCAATACACTATCCGTTTATGATTTTATTTTAACGGCATCACTGGGAAATCATACTTGGTTGAGTTCTATAAATGGTTGGATTATTTAAGTTACAGAACCTTACTCTGTAGAACTTGTTCTTGCAGAAATTCTGTGTTTTCTCAAATAAATTCCACCACAGTGTGAACAACATCATCAGGGAGCATATTCTTATTTACACTGAACTATGCGGCATAACTTCATTAAGCTTTAGTGTGGCATTCTCACTAGGGTGTGAATGGTATGTCGTGGAAATAAATTGGAGTAAACACAAAACTTTTTGCAAAAACAAAGTTTAGAAAAAATCTACTGTAACTTAAATAATTCAATTTTCCAGTTCTTGCCATTGTTAATAGTAAAACAAATTCTACCAAGAGTACTTTAAAACTTTGTTAATTTAAACTGATCCGTCTATTGCTATTTATAAACTATAAACTATAAATTATAAACTGCCAGACATTTTTTCATAATGTGATTTTTAGGGTCGGAATGAAGCAAAACCACATTCGCACTTAGTTAGGTAGACGCAATCATCATAAGTTTAAATTATCAGTTGTGGAACATAGTTTCAAACTATCGAGTACACTGTTATGACAGTTGTCTGAGATATTAATCTAGATAATTGCAATACACGTCGCAAGACTTAGGCTAATTGTTAGTTATTATATTATTCATTGTAGCCCATAATTGGAATATATTATTGATAAAATAAATTAATACCTTATCCAACCACAGTTGTTGGTACGACTAGTTTCGTTCCTTAGAATTTCATCAGCTCATTTTGTATGCAACCACATCATAAATGTATTAATACATTGTTGTATGTCAATTGAAATTTGTCATGTTGATAAAGTTGTTGAAATGGAACACAAATTGAAAAAATAAAAAAAAATAAAAAAAAAAAAACTGATTAAAACTGAACAGGCTGGCCAGCACTGTCTTATCACTGCCACTGACTATAAATACAACTGACTGAATCATGATGTTTCTTCTTCTCTCCAAGTTCCACCTGTATTTCAGTTTGTTTTGTTCTTCTTATTTTATACTTCTTTGATTTGTAACTTGTCATACATACTTAACATATATATCAAATATAATATTTGACCGGAAAGAAGTCTGATCATTTAAAATGTAGCAATTTGGTTAATTGTTTAGCACCACGTTCCATATGCGTTATAGCTTTTAATTAATCGTGTTTTATTTATTTTATACCTTAAACTTCATGAACACAATATACCACTTAGTATGCTGTACTAACACTTGAAAATTGCAAAATTAATTCTGGGTTCGTATTTTATAAATCATTTATTTCTCTGTAGATAGTCTCGTTTAGAACGCCAGCCAGTCTCTAATATGTAATATGGGGAACCCCTTAAATATTTTAGCAGAATACCCATGAATACTAGAATTCTAGAAAAGACCCGGTATGGATCATAAACCTAAACAAATGAGGTTTTTGGCCCGAAAATAAACATTATTTAACATTGCTTAAATGGAACTGCCAAAACATATGTTATGCTATTAGTATAGGATTCGGGCCAACAACGTCATTTGTTTATGTTTATGATCCATACCGGTATTTTTCTAGGATTTGTGAGAATACCCAATCAGAAAACCGATGTTTTTGCTATGCAATTCCTATTTTAGATGGAAAGACGAAAAACTGCAATCTAACATTACATCCCCACAAACAATTGACGGCGGATTTTAAAGTCAATCATCAGAAAGCACCCGAACTTTCATTGGTGAGTTGACATTGGTAGCGCGACGGTCTATAGTCTGTATGGTGGAATCTGTCTCCTGGCAAGGACCTAGGACCCGGAGGGTTAGGAGACTAGTTGCATCATACAGAGTATACAAATTCATGACAATAATGTTGTGGTTCAACGTCCTGGTTCACATTCCTAAATTTCTTTAATAACATTTCACTCTTGCACTACTGTCCGACCTCTTGCTGGATATACTCCAATCACAGGCTCGAGGCCAATTTCAACGGGCAAATACAAGGTTAAAAAAGGCCACCTGTCTCTAAAGACCAACATTGAAGATTAGCTGGCAGTTTATCCTTTCTCCTTATTTCTCCTGCAGACTTACCTTTCCGATGCTTCTCAGAGAGCAGGTCTGTGTGGGACTCCGACGCTAAGGTTTCTGTCGCTTCCGCGTCGTCTTCCCCCGGACCTCCAACTGAAAGCTTGTGGCACACCTCGAACGCCTGCCCAACGGTCCGCACCACTCGCATCGCCTGGCTCTGGAACAGATGGTGGAGGTCAGAAAATGCAGCACTGGGGGAGAGTGAAGGAGGGACTGAAGGAAAAAGGAAGTGAAGTACTCTGGAAGTAACCAGGGGGAGTGAAAGACAACTATTCTAAGAGGAAATGAAGGAAAGTAAAAGAATAGTACTCTGGAAGAAACAAGGGAAAAGTGAAAAAAGATGTTCTGAGAGGAAATGAAGGAAAGTAAAAGAATAGTACTCTGGAAGAAACAATGGGAAAGTGAAAGAGTAGTACTCTGGTAGGAATTGTGGAAAAGTGATAGAAGAGTACTCAGTATGGAACTGAGAGAAATTTAAAAATATAATTTGGAGTTCAAGGATAAAACATGAGGAAGAGTGTAAAACGGATTACAGAAGAAAAAATCCGATTTTAACGGAGAGAAAAGTGGTAAGGATTTTAATTTTTAAATGCTACGAGCTGAGACATTTCTCAGCTGCAGTTTTGCTTTTGTGCGTACAATAGAACCTCGATAACAGGTTTCTCAATGTGATTTTTAAATAAGACTTGATATCAAGGTTGACTTCCTTTACAGGTTTGCAATAAAAATTGATTGGGCAATAGAGTTTGTAATATAGAATCAAGGGTAGGGCCTATTTAAAATTAACTCATCTTATAAAGGGCAACTTGTTATCGAGGTTCCACTTTATTAAATGTGCTAGTAGCAAATAACTGTTTATCTAATTGAGGGTATGAAGAGAGGTCTCAGTCGTCATTAGACTCATGGTGCCCTGGGGAACTGGACTGAGGACCAGTAGAATTGAAATGAATCATTGTCGCTTGAATATGTCGAAAATAATATTCTTGGTGAGTAACAACAATCGGTGGTCTACAAAGGTTTTGAAAATAGTTAACCTTCCATAGTTTCTAGGGAAGATAATTGTATATTAAAAAATTAAGTTCATAATGTCAGAGGATAACTATAATTTTTGTTTATGCACTTTTTCATATGCTAAGTGTTTTGACTGCACTACGTTTCGGTAAGTTAGGCAATTCCTTCCATTTTCAAGTGGCTAACTATTAATCTAAATGTTACTAACTACCTTATCCAACCTAATCACCGAGCCTTTTGTAAACGGGAGGATTAACAAAGGTGCAGTCGAAGCACTTAGCGTACGAAAAGTCCATAAATTAACATTGAATTAATTAACATTGAAGTTAGGTACAGATGATTTTTACGAACACATAAGCAATCTCGTGCAAAACTTAAGAAATTGCCGTCTAATCTATCTCCTTTGGTGATAACACGAATACATTTACCACACTGCTAAAAGTCTTGTAAAACGTTTTAAACAGACAATATTAAATATTTTATTTTCATCATGGGAAACAATTGATTTTAGTTACCATAACAACCCCATTATACCACCAATAATAAACACCCATTTCATTACGGCATAAGATCGGAGAGGCAATTAGTCATGATTAAACTGAACTAAATTAATCCTACAGTAGCTGAGCCGTATTAATGATATGTTGGGTTCTGCAGGCTTACTCTCGCAGTAATTTAATTATTGCTGTACCCTTCTTGTTTATTTTGGTAACACTAATATACGAGGAATTTAATTGAAACCGTACCGTTTAATTATCGTGTATAAATAGGTATGCGGAATTTTAAATAACACAGGTATATTTTACAGTTACAATTCGAGTATGAATATTTTGCTTATGTTAATTAAATATGTTTTCAGAATTTTATGATTTAATTTGTATTATACTGTCTTTGAGAAAAGTTAGGTTGATTTGATAGAAAATATTATAATTTAATTTATTATAAATAAATAACCTTCTTAATCATTTAAGGTGAACAAGATCTAAGTGCTGATAAAAAAATTATAATAATTATAAAGCTTTAATTAGCTTAATAAATACTAGAAGAAGAACTATATTAGTATTTAATTGTATTGAATGTCATAGGATACACCTATGACTATTTGATCGTTGGCAAAATTAAACTAAAATTAAACTGTGACAAAATCCAAATGACTTAAGAATAGGCCTAGGTCTAATAAAAATACAATTTATTCTGCATACCTTTAAAAACAGTTAGCTGTCGAAAATATTTTTTGAAGCTATAAAACTATAAAAAAATTTATGATGCTTTAAAGAGGACGCAATACATTAGTTTATTTCTTTAACTCTAAACGCTTTAAACTGGGAAATGGTTGCAACCGTTTATGATGTTTAAAAGTATTTAACGAAAGAGTAAATGTTTATAAGTAAATAAGTAGAGTGGAGTTAGATAAGTAATTTCCATTTACTTTTAATTAGTGTTGGAAATGCTCATCAGAATTTATTTAACATTGTGGCATGACTGGAATTTTCATAGGTGTAACTTAATTTAAAAAGTAGGACTTTTAGATTGAATCAATGTTCTTTAAAATCAGTTTATAGTTTGGCCTCAATACTTTTTCATTTTTTTTTACTCCAATAAAATAGAAATTTATATTTAACCAAACAATTTTGATCACACCAACTGATATAAATGTGTTTATTATTTATTTTCAATTTACCTCACCTTAACTCAGGTAATAGGTAAATGGAAGGAGAATTTCGGAAAAATAACACTGTAACGGAGAATACAGCATTAGAGTAATAGGATTAAACTCTGGGGATGAAAAGAAGTATCGTTACAGTGTTTGAGTTAATCTCCAACAAACTTGCTATTGTTAGGGTTGTGGAACACCTAAAACTTATTTCCAAGAAATTTATTCAATAACAAAATTATTGAAAGATAAAACATGTTTTATATATTTGATAATCGGATTGCTTTTATTGTTTCCTAAAAGTCTTTTTACTCCATAATGGACGTAGGAATTTAATATCAATTAAACGTATACTAAAACTTTAATCAACGAAAATATTATTTTCGTAAAAAGACAGTAATTTTGTGAATAAAACTACTAAATTACAATAAACTGAATTAGTTTCTTCTAGATCTACAACTTGAAGAGTGATTTACGTTACTCGATCAGGTTACCATTATAATAAATAGCCTATTTTTACTTGTAATTTCATAATAAAAATATAAAGTGAGCCACTCACTACAAATTTGCAACCATATGTCTAAAGCGCGAGATTTAAAGAGCACTTTAAATATGGTCGAGAATAATAGACCCACTATATACTATTTTTTACTATTTTACTATTTTATACATTTTTTAAGTACCAGACGTAAATGAGGTAATTCACAGTTGACACATACTATTTCTAAAACAAACCTCAAACATTGGCATTGGTACCAACTTACTGCTTCGGAAATTACTTTAAATGTCACATTTTTGGACGACTTGTTCATGGAAAAGGTTTTAATAGTGGTTGAGCAAAGATTATTAAAAACAAGTAACATTTGCTTGCAAGTTTTCCAAATACAAACAGGGAAAATATTTCCATTGATAACGCTTTATTACTTACTTTAATACTTTTTGCAGTAAAATTAAATAAAAAAACATATACACGTACTATAAGTACGTTAATATCCTGTGTAGCTGGAAAGAGATTGTGTTTCTCATCATTTGTCCTATAAATTCTAAATTAATTATAACCAAATCAAAAAAGACGTTTAAAACTACTTTACTATGATCGAAAAGCTCACTATAAAATGACAATACATAAGGTAAAAACATTTGTTCAACGTTAACATATTAAGTAGGCTGAATCATAAACAAAAGAAATACCATAGACCATAATGGTGTATTGTCTGTGGCTAAATATAAACATATTGTGGTTGTTCGCCGTAGAATTTGTGATGCTAATTCAAGCACATTGTAATAAAAAATTAGGATTCACAAACTAGTCATAACAAGAAAATGTTGAATTGAGGTAAGAGGTAAGTAAGACAAACGTTTGGGGTTGAGAGAATTTACACAAAACAAGTTAAGCTTTACATATAAGCCGCTTTGTGAATGACCAACAAGTTAACCTAAAGAGGAAACGGCGTGTAAGACGATGGTTGCATACTGGTTTTACATTATAAACATAGCATAAATGATATTTTATACGGTATGCAATAAAACTAAATAATAAATCCGTGTGTTATGATAAGTTAATTATGATGAAAGAAAAATCGTGATAATGCACAGTCATTCTTAATTCACGAACAGCTTTTGTTTATCTTGAATTGCACTTTTGCTAAAACCATTTTACAAACATATTCCATCCAATTCAATCTTATTCAACATAGCCGAGTAACCAATTGTAATCCCATTTACCTCATCAAATAGAAACCCAACGGTGTATTGTAATTCTCTTTTTGAATTTTAAGCATGATAGAAAGAACAAGAATAGAACAGCGGTTTGCAAATTTAATAAGACAGGAAGAATAGTTGTGTTTTCAGAGAAGCGAGACTAGTGTTTGGCGTTGGTCCAGAGCTTAGTAACGAGGTTGACTGATAAAATGGTCAAGTGGATACGGTCACTCACTTGTGTGGTTTGATTGTTGGAAACACATCTGCGTGTATCTTCTATCTATATACTTAAAATAAGGGTTTTTTTCTGTAACACCCTTTTTTTAAGACAACTTACTTAGCCGAAGTTTAAGATTGATGCTTTACTTCAAAGCTTATGATTTGGCACACCTTCGAATAGGTTAAAGAGGACAATTTCCTTCAATCCTATTGCGGTTGATTTTTTTAAGTTTGCTTGCAGATTTAATGATGCTGACCAACTTTCTTTATAATCTTTTAAATGTAAACAGCTGATCTTTCAGTTGAATATTCAAACTACAGTCAGATTTAACAACAGAATGTTTATGAAAATGGTATTTTTTTTTAAACTACTGTGAAATCAACTGTTTTCGCTGAAATTCAATATGTTTATCACCTGCAAAAATTCATCATTACATTGTTTACTACGCATAAGTAACGTTTATTTTTTGGAGTTCTCTAACTAGCTATTTACATTACAAGTGTGGTAAGAGCGTTTTTAAATCACGCAGGTGAATGTTGTGCAACGAGCGTAAGCGAGTTGCATAATTTAC